AAGACGGCGGAGGCCGGCGTGTCGGATGGCGCTGCTGACAGTGGTGGCGTGGGGCAGCGTAGCCGCTGGCCGGTGGAGGTGCGTCGTCGTGGCGGAGCGCATGAGCCGGTGGCGGCGCGGCGTTTCTCTCGTGGCGGGGCTCGTCTTGGCCAGATCTGCAGCTGCTGGTGGAGGAGGCTGGCGGCCGATGCGTGACATGGAGCCTAGCATGGCGGCGGGCTGGGTCAGAGCTGGCAGCAGTGTGGTGGTGTGCTAGGGCAATGGCGGCGTCATCTGGAGGCATTGGAGCAAACCCACGGCAAGGCTGGTGGTGGCGGCGCTGCGATGGCTCGGCCAAGATGGAGTCTTGGCGAGCAGCGAGTGGCCGGCCTCCTCTGCGCGGTGTGGTGAGTGGCGGGGCTCTCCCGGTGGCGCGGCTTGGTTCTTCACAGAGGAGCGGGTTCGACCGTCCCAAGGCCAGCCTTTTGAGTGGGCGTCGGCAGTTGCGAACGGTCCTGGACCCTGGCGGAGGTGCGGGTGGCTGCAGTCTCTTTTTCAGGCTGGGAGTTGGTGCGGTGGCCGGGTTCCTCTTGGTCGTGCAACCGGTCGTCGGTCCTCAGATTTGCGACTACTTCGGCTTTGAGTTGCGGTGGCGGCGGTGCGAGGCAAATTGGATGGTGTTGCCCATCTCCAGGAGGCGTGGTGATGTGCGTTTGCGCGGATGAAAATCTTGCTTGGCTTATGTCGGGCCGGCGGCGATGGCACCCGTGGGTGTCATTCCCTTCTTGGAGGCGTCGCCGAGGCGTGTGCGCCATTGAAAGAACATGCGGTGCCCCCATGTTTGGTTTTGGCAATTGATGACAATCTCTATGGACTAATGGTTGTCTTGAGTTATATTTGAAGAGTTTGTCCATAGGTTCTTGCAGTCCATTTGTTGGTCTCAAGGAGAGTTTGTGATGACCACGGTGCTATTAAGGAATTATCCAAAGATCGGTCATGTGAATGTTGAGCTTATTGCAGGCATGTCTTGAAGAAGAAGATTGTGTGATCATTCATGTCTACCTTCAAGACATCATCCAAATGAAGAGAGTTGGAAAGATTCAAGGTTGATCAAAACTAAATCAAGAGTGAATCAAGTTGATCAACTCACAAAGCGTAGAAGATGTACCGAGAGGGATCAAGTGATCCCATGCTATGGTAAGCATTGTCCATTGCACTCTGTATACTAACCCATGGTATATGTGAGAGTTCTATGTGGGGTTAGGTACGTGTCCATGGGCTTGCGTCAAGAGGCAGATATCATACAACCCATGGAAAGGATGACATCAAGTGGTGATCGTCATCAAGATTGCCGTGTGCAAGTTCAAGTGAAGCATCACGAAGAGATCAAGTGCTTGAATCTTGCCATCCATTGTGGTGTCAATGGACTTGTGAATATGTGCCTAAGAGTGGCTCACCCATAGTGGACTATGGGGGAGCAATCATCTAGTCTTCATCGAGCCAACGCAATCAAGAAAGGTGGTCCAATTTGAGGGAGTCAAGATCGTCTTCATCTAGCTCAAGTGGACCATGTGCAAGGCAAAGGTTTGCCCTTGATAGGTTTTCTATTTTACCGGTCTTGTGGTGGTAGTTGGGAGACCGAGTTATAGGATCGTTTGCCGTACTATCAAGGGGGGCTCTCAAGTTGGTAGCTTGATCGTATCGTTAGTAGAGAGCTCAAATCATTGAATCCTTGCATCATGTTTCTTGGTTCTTGTTTGGTTATCTTTGTGAGTCTTAGAGATTATGGTCATCTTGATGACAAGCTTGAGTTCATCGAAAACGGAGTTCGCATGCGTCTTCTATG